AGAGCGAGAGATTCCTACTCGGACTCTACCCGGCACAACAGCGCACCCAGCTTTCTTCTGACCTGAGAACCCATGCGTTCGCTAACTCGCCTCTCACTACTCGAGCAACACCAAACCAAAGCTCTCCTGAACCCGCGTTTCCGATCATACGGTCTTCTCTCCGCAGGCATACAGCCACGCGACTCTCTGACGGCCGCGTTTCTACTCGGTCTTCTACCGCGGCAGCAACACCAACTCAGCTTCTCTGAACGCCGCATTCCTAGCTCGGTCTTCTGCCGCGCAAGCCAACACCAAGCCGCTTACTTTGAACGCTCCGGCAATCCTCCAACTCGCTCTCTATAACCGCAGTAACACCAACCAGCTCTCTGAACGCCGCGCATTCCTACTGCGAACCTCTCTACCGTCAAGCAACACTGATCCAACCAGCTTCTCGACGCCGCGTATTCCCTACTCCGATCTTCTTCCTCCGCAGCAACACCACCCGCCCCACCCCGCCAACCAGCTTCTTCTGAACCCGCCCGTGTCCTACTCGGTAACCTCTCTACGCGGCAGGGCCACACCCCGCCTCGGACCCCCCCACGCCTCCAACCAGCCTTCTTCTGAAGCCACGTTTCCTACTCGTGCTCCTTCTACTCCGACCCAGCAACACCACACAGACTTCTCTGAACGCACGCCGCGTTTCCTACTCGCTCTTCTACCGCCGCAGCAAACACCCAACCAGCCTTCTTCTGAAACTGCCGCCGCGTTCCTACCTCGTGTTCTACTCGCAGCAACACCAACCACGCTTCTTCTGACGCCGCGTTTTCCTACTCGGCTCATTCTTCCGCACGGCAAGACGACCAAACCAGACTCTCTTCTGACTGCCGCGTTTCGCTAACTCGGTCGTCTTATCCTATCTCCGCAGGCACCGACCACCCACACCAACCCCAAGTCTTTCCTCTTTTTCGTGTCCATGTACGCATCCGTAGAAATGAACTCATACGCAAGCCAGCAGGTGTAACCGGAGAATCAACCATGCAGCGCCGCGCGCGGTCGTACCACCCTCCCGCGCGCTCTCGTAATCCGCACTCTGCCCGTAGCCGGCGCACTGTACGTGCACTGCGTCGCGCCGGAGCACGAGATCGCTATGTGCGCGCAAAGCATGCTGCGAGATCATGCACGGGGGATGCAAGCGCTGACGACAGCCGGGCACACGGCGCGCCAACACATTTGTTGAGTGGTATCGCGCCGCCTTCGCCGCGTAGTACACGTACATACCGCGTGCACGAGGCTAGTTCATGAAGGCAGAACCAGCGGATGCTCGCGCTGTGCCAACCGCAAAGCAGTAGCCCAGCAAGTAGACGAACACGGTGACCGTGGTGGTACGCAGTGCAGGAACTCAGCGGCCGCGTTCTGAGCACGGACGAAGAAGGTGTCGCCCGTTCGAGCAGCTTGCTGACTGGCATATAGAGAAGCCGCCATAGGCCGGCGCGCGCCATCTCATCCCGTGCCAGTCGGCACAGGCGAGAAGTCGATGCCTGAACGAGGTCAACCCGTGTAGCGAAAGTCCGGGAACGTGAACGCCCGCGCCGACGATGGAACACACGCGCGAGTGGAACACCAGGGAGCCGGCAAGCTCCACTTGTCGGACGTTCTCATCGCAGTCCTGAAAGCGCGACGATGGCGACGCACATCACAGGAGCGCGTAGCCAGAGTAGTCCAATGTCCGCTTCCCCACGACGTCGCGCCCCCCGGCTCGACAGTCCGCGGTCCTCCCACGCCATTGCCGCCGGCCGACGGGCTGCTCGCCACCGGTTGTCCAGCCGGCCAAGTGGTGGCGGATTTATCGGCCACTGGCCGATCACCTGTGCACGGGAACCGGCGAAACGGACAGAATCGGACGCGGCGCGCCTGTCAGATTTTTTGCGCTCTGGGAGCAGACGTGAGGCTGACCACTAGACTCCGTTCAGCACGACGAAGTTAAGACCGCGACTAGAAATAAAAGAAATACTTTGAGAGAAGTCCTTGTTCTCGTCGCATTCTACGCATAATAGGTAACCTCATATGCGTATGTCGATTATACCAACACGTGAACCTACTCACCACCTGCACCATTAATAGTGAAACATAGTATACGTATATAATATGTTCATACGCTCGTTGCAGTTCACGAGGTTTGTCAGGTAAAAGCTCAATTACTTAATAAAAGAAAACATATAGTATTAACATCCGCGATCAGTCATTCGTAACATATTGTAATCATATATGTGCCTTTTTGTCAAGCACTGTATGGTTAAATTTGTAATGTAATAACTTGATGAATAGACTTAAATGTAAATTATTTACTGGCATCCATCAATTACAACTTCGAAGCAATTTTCTTGCATTTTATATATGTAATTCATAGTAATCAATGCGTTAGACAAAAAAGGTGTATGAAGACGTTTACTACACTGTCAGCTTGCAAACACATAGCCACAAACACTTCAACAGATCCGCAACGATGCAGCCTAATTTTGCATATTTTATGATGCATTCGCAAGGCGCGGATCTTAGCTTTCAGGAGACAAGGGGGGGGGGAGGAGTATTGAGTGAAGGTGTGTCGAAGGCAAGCAGTGCTAGGGTGGCCCCATTTACTAGTATGCAATAACAGCCTAAGAAGTTGATTATTAATAAAAATTTATATATTAATATATATATATTATATATATAATAATTAATTCTATGTCATTTAATCTAACTTATAATTTAGATTAGATTCTAATTTAATTAGATTAGATTAGAATCTAGATTAGAATCTAATTTAATTAGATTAATAGAGAATCATGATCACTCATGGATATACTTTAGTAAAGTGGCTGAACGGGGGCGCGGGAGGGAGGTTGAACCCTTCCAACCCCCCCTCTAGATCCGCCACTGATGGTTATTGTCATCGGTTCGTGACATCTGTAGTTGCAAGCTTGCACATGCACCAACATTCAGAAATGAGGAGCACCTGCACATAAGTTGCAGTTTGACAAGCGTTCCAGCTGCTCAGGGACCGATCAATTTACCAGCGAAAATGTTTTCGAACTCTTTTCAGGGCATCCAGGAGGATTCTCTTCACCACAATGGGAGCGCTGCAAAAATTGTCGTTTATCCAAGCGATAGCATGCGTCGGTGAGCAAAGAGTAATTCTAACGAGGAATAAATCCTGCATGAAATTTTTGTGAGGGCAATCACGGCAAACAGCAATCCTGTGATGGATACCGTAGCTGTAGATGTGGGCAATCAGTAAACGGTAGTAAGCGTTTACATTGTCCATGCAAAGTGTGACGAGTTAACAAAAACATCATGTTTGACCCCCCCTTGCCTTAAAATCAACAAGATACACTTAGGAATTACATGTATGTATAACTAACCATACTATAAATCCATATTATTATTATTTAAACTTGCCACATTCATAACATATAAAATTACAACATATTGTATGCCACTACATTCCACAGTTCACCCTTTGCCAATGGATTCATGTTTATAAATGCATGTCAACATAAATGACAATACATGTATTTCCACCAAGTACTTAAAGCATTAAATTGGAATGCATATATAAACTCAGATACAAATTTTGAAGTAGGAGATTGATTCCATATACAAAACAATGTCATTTGTTGACCTGTACAATATCCAATACATTTCTAATTTATAACTTTAGTGAAAACTTTAAAAGTACTTTGCCTTAGTTTCACTATCCCCTTTTTTAATGCATAATGATATGCCTGAGGCTCTTTTTACTACATAAACCTCTTCAGAGAAATGCTACATAAGGAAATCTAATAATTTCTTCATATTCTTGTCAGAAATCTAAGTTTGTGCACAATACTGATATAATACAAGGCTCGACACTTAGTCGGTGGGCCGGTTGGCGCAGGTTTCCACCCACAACTTGATTCGGGCACCTAAAATTTCAAAAGTTAAAATTTGGTGGGCCAGCCATCGGGCCAACTTAAAATATTCAAAGTGTCTATGTGATAAAAATAAATTGTTTCTTACGTGCTAATCTCACTTCAAAGAGAGCGAGCAAATTCGCGGAGCGGAGGGCACAACCACTGACGCACGTGGGCAGGCATTCTATATCGCGGGCCATACACGGCGGCATGTTTATATCCGTCTAACTGCGGTGCAACAAGCCACGTTATGTGTTAGACTGGTATCCGGCCTCAGCTCTGCTAGACAATGTCCGGCTCTGCGACCGAACATTCGCGCGCGAACGCAGTATAGCCAGAGACAACATCTGAGGCGCGCAGCCATAGCTGCTTGTTGCAATGGATAATTCAAATGTATCTGTCAATCATCCAATAGTCAGTGTGTGGCCATTCTGTGTGGGTTTGTTAAAGACTTGTGCCAATGCATCAGACGCGCAATTTGCAAATAATAATACGAAATATCGAGTTTGAATAAAAGATTTAATAAGTTTTTGTCTTGTTTTTTTTTCGGGCACCCGAGATTTTCATTTCGGGCCACCAAAAATTGAAAAGCTATGATTTTGGTGGCCGCGATCGGGCCACTAATAAAAAAAGTAGTGTCGAGCCTTGAATATATGGATACAAATTCATGTTCTGTAGTGTCATTATTGTATCCCTGAATGGAATGCATGTCTAATTACATACTCATGAAAAATGTCATTGGCAGTTTCTTTAGCATTCTTTTTAAAGGGGCAATGTCTTTTCCAGTGAGAAAAAGAGAAACAACTTGGAACAGTCAGTTGCAGTCTTCT